GTCTTCGCACATAGGTAGTCCTGTCCGCAGGCATGCAGGATGTACTACTTTGCAGCTTAAATATACGTGAAGGAAGCGCGACCCGCCCGCGGCGAGGCTACGGCAACTACTGCATTAATTACCACCCTTATTAGTATTTGAGCTACACCAATCACCATTTTCGATGAGGGAAGTGTCTTTAACCCAAGACTCTCGATAGTCTTCAGAAGGAAGTCTTCAGAGGGGACCCTCAATGGCCAGAATAAAATTGTATTGCCAATTGTTTGACGAAGCTCTTACAGTACCTGAACTTATCAGTTCAGTCCTATTAGCTAGTTTTTCCAGTAATACTATCCTTTCAGCTGTTGTTATCGACCAAAAGAAGATACGGTCTCCGAAAGCAATCAAGTGTTCGTCATCTATCATCCAAATGGACGAACAGCACGATTTTCGTTACGTTTTAAGCGACAAGTCTAGATTGAAATGTGAGGCGCTTCGATGGGACACACATCGCCTCAACCCATCTGCCGCTTCTCAGCCAGCTAGCAAGCTCAACTGGTCCTGCACCGATTTCAGTTTTTTGCTCAGGGCTTCCGGTTGTAATGCGCTAGCTTACAACCGCCAGCGCAAATTAGACTGACTAGTTCCGCTATTTCTTTATGATTGAGAATCTGTTTCCCTTTTCTCTCGTACATACGTCTTCCATAGAACTAATATGCATCGCTTCTTCCATTGAGCTATGTGAAGCAGCCATTCAACCAGGCAGCCATTCATTCTTTCCCCTCCCCGCCCACCATCGAACCTCATCAGCCAATCTATCCGCATACGGGACACTGCCAAGCCGTCGCTAGTTCGCTTATTCATCCTGTCCGAGTCATTCTCCTGACCTTCCGGTGATCTGTGAATATTGACCTCTTTTCATATTGCGTCACTTACGCCACTATTTCATTTACCGATCACTTGACGAGATGATAGCTTTAATTGTTTTAGTCAACTGATTTTGTCGTTTTTTTCTATCGAAACAGCCTTTTTTTAATAAGCAGTTTCACATTAGTCACATGTGTTTGGGTGAACATAAACATCTCCCGAAAGTCAGTTGTACATAATGCTGCTGTGATAAATATTTGGACAAATTCGTGTATTAATAATCAAGAAGGTGCAGTGGCTAGATGTCCTGGGTATGTGACAAGACATTCGTAATGTGCCGCGCTGGTGGGCGTGGCGAACGAGGCCGCACCTAAAAGACGAGTTGTCCTGCCTGACCTTTTGAATATGAGTAGGGACGGGAAATTTCGACGACGCCCGTCATCGAGTCTTGTCTTCGCTTGAATTCGTACGAGTTTCACTGTTCCAACCGACAACATACTGAGGAGTTGCTGCGCATTGCCGCACGACATCCCCTCGCGATGACCGACGAATTACGACTGTCTTGTCCGTCTCCCAGATAACCCAGTATAATGAGAAAGGCTGCTGGATCGAACATCACTCAAGCCACATGGAAGACTTTCGTCCCTTTTAGCTCGACTGTTTGATGAGAATAAAAAGCTGACTTCTTTTCCGGCTGATCCGTGGTAGACGGATCTGACGCCAGAGCCGGCTTTCCCCGCGACAGCGGAATAGCGCGGATTATCATTATCGTGAGCTATACATCAGCGCCGCGCTCATGCCGTGCAACACCGAAGAACCCGTGAAAAGCATACGTATCGATCTGGAGACTAGCAGAATAGGAGAAGGGAATGACTAGGCACGCTCCAAATGATGTGCGGTTTTCCACTTGTGCGGATTCAATTGGCAACTAATAATTAATTTTGCAGCTCTTCCACACACAGCAATAAGTAGTGTGAATGCGGCCTGAGCAATTGAAGATAGAAAGATTCAAGGGCACTGTTGATTTGGGAGGGGCATTTTGCATTTTCGCTAGTTTTCTGCTAGTTCGCAGTGAGCGTAGCACGCCATATCTATGTTGAAGACCTGAACTGTGTCGATTTAAGTTCATGACCGCCCTGCTGTAGATTTACACAACTTTACAATAGGAGGCTATCGGAATAATTGATGCAAGAGGGGCAAGTTTTGTCTTCGCTGGTTAAGCTCGCTATCGCGCTGCTGTCACGAACTCACGGTCGTAAAGACGTAGAAGAGCGCAATTGGGGGGCCATTCTCAGGTAAGCGCATGACTAAGTCAAGAGAGCTGGTGAAGAATAATTTGAGGACTTTGAATGGAGAATTCTCGCAAGGATACGCACAGTCAGGAGGCGACGGCAGGGGTCCATCACTTCGCTGGAGTTCAGAAGATGAATCGCGCCGTGACAAAGGGAATGAAAGATTGAAAGCAGTGAGTCCAGACAGGGTACCGAGAGAAGCATGGAAGGCCCTGGGAGAGCTTGGGGTGGGGTCTAAACAATGTAACTGCTGAAGGAAGGATGCCAGATGCGTGGAGAAGCCGGCATCAATCCGTGCTCGTCCCATCTTCTAACAGAAACGCCGGGACGAGACGGAGCGTTCCAGCTACCGCGGCATCAAGTTGACTCTCCATACCATGAAGATGTACGAGCGCCTGGGAGAATGGACTCCGGTTGAACGTAAAGAAGTTCGTGAGCTCCGAAGTGTGTACCGAACCCATCGTAGACCGTCATAGCGAGAACTTGAAAGGGATGAGCAACCAATACCATTTATGGGAGCAACCTAGCAGCTGATGGCAGCGTGGACCAGGCGGTGACGGCCCGAATCAACGCAGCCTGGATGAAATGGAGGGAGTCCACTGGCATCCTGTGCGACCGGCGGTGGTTAAGGCCTACAATGCTCTACGGGCAGTGAGTGCTGCGTTGTATTGGCAGAGAACGATGAAAGGCAGCTTCCACTGCAGCTTGAAATGAGGATGCTGGAACTGGGCGTGTCCTCAGAAACGAGGACTCAGGGCGGTCACACAGACGGCTCCGATCCAGCTGAAGGCACGAGAGCAGCGCCTGCGATGGTATGGGCACGTACTGAGGAGGCCTGAAGACCACCCAGCAAGGAAGGCACTGGAATTCAAAGTAGAGGGCAAGCGACCACGAGGGGCCTCAAAGAAAACATGGAGGGGCGTCATCAAAAGGAACCTCACTGAAGTGAAAGCCACAGCAGAGGATCGGAATAAAAGGCGACGTCTAATGAGAAGCGGACTCTCTCGCGACGGGCGGGACTTCAGCTAGGGAGAATGCAGGAAGGACGTCTCCCACCAAGTCCAAATCGATCCGACCCCACTAGGGCACCTAGACAACTAATTAAGGTCAAAAATTGGTTCTTTCGCAGTGAATGTGTGTGCGATGTCACGTAGACAAACGCCTGGACCATTGGTTACCTAGGAAGCGAGCCCCCCAGTGAGAAGAGTGCACTTCTTTAAGTGGATTCGCCGCGAGCACGGAACGCGCATTTTACCTTATGTGCGTAGCCATCCCATCCGTTGGCTGAGAGACGGATAACCGTAATTTCTCGCATTCGCCGCGGGCAGTATATCGTGCGGCGAGCGCGCGGCAAGTTCTCCATTTCTAGGGTTTTCCTCCAGTTTACAGCAGGAGACCCAAGAATTCAAAGCAAGACACGGCAATCCATGGGAAAAATTTTGAATTTTCCTGTCCCTTATCTACTTCGATTAAACATACAGCATTGCGTTGGTCGCACACCAGCGCGACAAATTTACGTATTTGTCTTGACCCTCCATTGGCTTGCGCCCTTTGTATTGTTTTTCTAGCGAAACACATATTCCAAAAGAGCTGCGGTACAGAGGATTTCCATGCATAAGGAGATTGCCAGCTAGGTAGTCCATGAGTCCAGACGTGTTCGTTTTGGAATGTCTAACTCTGATGAAGTGGAATACCGGCAAAGCTTTAGAAAAGTACCCGCTGGTTTGGTCATCCGACAATATCAAGAGACAGCAAGGGATCAATTTGATGAAAAAAATAAAGTAAAAATGAAAAAAAACAAGAAATCCAAACAGATTGGACTATAAAGATAAAGATTGGACTATTAAGGAAAAAAGGCTATCATTAAAGATAGTTATGTGCTATCGTTACAGTGCGCGGTGTGTATCAGCAAACAAATTGGGGCTCGAATCCTCCCGAAAGAAACCTTGAAATCTTAATGTTTATTTCATAAACAATTTAGTCTGAAACAATTCCAATAATTTCCGAAAAACTAAACTCTTGTGATAGTGAATGAGCTTGAGTGGATATTTCTACAGTAGGATTTGCAATGTCGTCTTCGTCCAGTTACCCACGGCTCTTCTGTGAACATTCTTGTCCTAGTGACCATACAAGTTCTTGTGTGAACACATATCGTCACTACACCCTATTGCAGGAGTGTAATTCAGGGCATCCGACGGCCATTGTTCGTGTTGTATGGCGAACCAGGCTCCTACCGCTGACTCACGGACACTTTGGCGTTCAAGTCATTTGGATGCCGTTGCAGTCTGCGCCCAGTTATGTTTTTATTTGACGGGCTTTTTTTTGCAAAACCAGTGTAAAGATGACAGCTGGGTGTGCTCTTTCATTTTTTTAGGTTTTCATCACTTCGAGCATAAACTTCTGCTAATTAATACTGCAAGTTTATGTGCAAAGCAGCAAAAAAAGAAGGGAGGAGCTTATCGATTTTTGAAAGTTTTTTTGAGGCCCGTCAAATTAACGGTAAAGGACGTAGTCTGATAGATCACCTATTAATCTGACGCCTGTGGTATGCCAAGCCGAACAACAAGACTTACCAGGTTCGCACGCGCGCGCGATGTTGCATCTCGGATCTCCTGACCTGCACCCAAATTAGTAAGCAGAACACTCGCGAAAACAACTGCAAACAAACAACGGCATTTGATGAAATTGTTTTTTTTTTGAAACGAAATGATGAATCAAAAAAGCGGGTAAAATAATGAGTCGTACAAAGCTAATGATGTTTAGAAATCATCGAACCTAGGGGGATGAGAAAAAATATACATGTATTAGGAGGGTGAGGGTGGTGATGATGGATGGAGCGGGCAGGTCTTTCCGTACAGACTGTCTGCGATCAGATGAAAGAGAAAAAAACATTCTGTGATGATATGGAAAACAGGAGGGAATCAGCTGCTTCACGGCAACACATCCACTGATTTCCTATCGGTAAATAGTGTAAATACAATATATCCGTCAGTCAGGTCCCATACTGGACGACACACATCTCTTTCGCTAAAACTACTAAAACAATAGGGAATAGTCAGCGCGATTAGATAGATATTCAGTCAACAAATCAACAATCTTATATAGAAATTCCGTTGGAACAGTCAGAAAAACAGGATAAAATTTCATCGACGACTAGGTCGATCATACTAGAGAATACAATGGGAAGTGACGAAATGATTTCTTTGCCAAGGAGGACAGACAGAACCATCGGATAGCAAACTGGCGAAAAGGCAACTGTGGAACAGATAGAGCAGACCGGGCGGATAAACTCTGCCTATAGACTATATAAACAACAGAATGTGGTAGGATTGAACGGGAAACACATATAACCAACGATGATAGAAGAACCAGGAACCAGGAAGATAAGAAATAATAAAAAAAAAGAAAAACAACCAACCACAAACACAACAAAACAGCTAAGAACTATGGGCGGCTAGACTCTAGATCTAGAAACTGATCGATGTCGTGACATACTGTGTACTGAGTCTCTAAATAACTACAAATGTAGATATGAGAAATCTGAGGGCTATTCAAATCGTCGAATGTAGAGTACAGAAACGTTTCGCGTTACCATAAAAAGGCAAGACTCAATAGAGTGCGAGATGAGGGTGGGCAGAAATCTGTCAAACAGCTGCTACCATGGGCGTAGGGTTGGTTGACAATGGACGGCCCTTAGTTGCCGAGACTTTTTGTAATTTTGATGGATCGGATGCTTTTGCGAATCCAGCTTCCATCAAATCCTTATCCACGCGTATCGGCTGAACACACAGATAGCAATGAAACCAGTGAAACGGATCAACTCAAACAATACTACAAGCTCGTTCGCTGCGAGTGGGGTGTGTCAGCGTGGCTGCGTTTAGCGTAGTGCCACACCCGTATCCTACCAGCTGTTAAGCGAGTAAGCGACAAAAATCGGTGGAAAGATTGATACGAACAAGAACAGTATGGCACCGCGCCAAGCGCAGCCGTACTGGCATGCCTCACCATCCACAGCGAACTGGACTTTACGTATGCTCACCTTGCTCTCTTCATCCAGTACCGTCAACTCAACCATGGGAACTTTATCATGGACATTGAAACCGACCACTGTTGCATTGATGACTTTGCCCATACATAACTTTTGGAAATGAGCGAATGCAGCTTCTCCCCATTGCCATGTGCCTGCAAAAGGGCAAAGGGATGGAATAATTACTGGAAAGAGTCATCAATTGTCCTTCGCAGGAATGAAGAGCCGGAACGTAATCATAGAATATGACCCCAAAAAAGAGCAGGCGCACTTCCGCGACGGAGGGCGAGAGGTTTTGTGCACTTTTGCTGCTTTTCCTTGTCGCGTTCGTTGCTTTACAAAGGTAAGCCTCTACAAACTCCCGGATCACATGATTATAAAATCTCTACTTGATGGCTCGACAGGACAATGGTAAGCAGCAAAAATGCAAATCCCCCCTCTACATCACCGATCAGCACCAAGAGAGCGCTTATGCAAAGTACCTATGACAGTCCATATTTTCCGAATCAAAACGAATAAGGACTAGTGCACTCACAGGGGAAACAAAAATTAAATCAAACATCGAACCAAATGAACTTAAACCATTGTCAACATACCATCAATTGGTTGGACGTGAGCCAGGTAGCATTCAATAGCTTGGAACGGCAACGACATCAAATCCGTCCTGAAACGAAACGATGAACTAGAATAGGACCAGAAAACGAAAATAGCGATGAATACAGTACCTAATTTGTCGCAGTTCGCTTCTGGGTAATCGAGTGTAGCCTCCATAATCAACAAATCTTAGCATAACTTCATCACTCTCTGGGTAGTAACTTACAGTTACTGCACGGAACCATGCTCCAAGCACAGGAGCCGCACACAGAAGGCCAGCTGTAAAGTTATGTTGAGCGATGTAATCAATAAGATGAATGTCAATGGTTGAAAAACACTCACTTTGACAAGGTTTCGGCAAGTCTGGGATGTCTGATCCTTGACTATACAAGCGTATCATATACATGTCGAGATGGGACAACGACGAAAACGAGGGATGTGTGGGTTGTTGTAAGAAAAAGTGTCCGGGATCAATAACCGAAGAGCACACAACCTCACATGGTATCGCATCTGGCAGAGTAAGCTAAAAACAGGTCGATGGAGAAGAAACATTCGAAAAAAATGAACGAAATCCATCATAAAAGGCACAGTCCGCGACTGCAAATCGTAACTACAAACAAAACTGGGCGCGATAGGCGAGGGGGGGGGCATTCTGCGATTTCACTACTTCCCCATGTCGAGACCTCAAGTAGAGATCTGTGAAATATTTGTGAAGCCATAAAGTAATACTAGTCAAGGTTTGCAGAAAATTGTCAGCTCTTCTAAACCAATAACACGGCGATGAGAAACAGCGAAGGTGCATAATGCTCCTCCTCAGCCGAAATGCTTCCAAAATGGTATGCGGTAGTCCAGTTATCAAGTTATCAGAGAGAACAAGAGCAAGAGAAACTATCGAGAACGTCCCAACAAGACCCCATTGGCATACGAGCACATGGCGAAAAGCCACCGAGCGCGCAGAACAGAAACAGACTTCTAAAGTGATACGAGAGCACACAGATGAGCAAGATGGCGAGGTCATGCAACGATTGTAAAACGGAATGAAAAGGGCGGAGGTTGGCCTCCATAGGCGGAGACCGAGCTCAGTGTTAGTTTTAGCTTTGGACTTGCCTCTCACTTTCATGCTGCTAAGGTGGCAAACCTTGCGCGGCTGCAGACTCGCGCACATTATACTCGAACCTTCTATTTCTCAGGTAATCGTGGACTGTGCCTTTAAGTCGAATACGTACCCAGCTAGGTTGTGAAGCTAGAGCATCGAATAAATTGCTTGCAAGTGGTGGTGGTAAAACAGGTTGCAAATTTAATTCTGGAAATCGTGCAGGTGGAAATCGTCTGCGCAACATCTGTAGACAACGATTGATTTGTTCCCGTTTACCGCGAACCTGAAAAACACTACGAGTACGGAAGGGGCATGTGACAAGCGTACCAGGGACGACGTTACACAACGAGATGACAAAACAGCCAGGTGTGAACTTACTTGACATATTTGATGGGTGTCGACCTTCTCTGGGGTGTGATGTTGTCGTATCAGCATTCGAACGTCTGTTCTCGAACTCAACTCCTGAAACTTATCAACTCGAGGGGTCACCGGAAACTAACGAGGTTTATTTTTTGAGAAAACAAACGCACCTTTATTGTTTTTCCTTTGATTCCAATTACTAAACCAACTAAGGTGTTAGGGATTTCGAACTCGTACATAGGAAGCACATCCCCTGCTTCATCCATGGGGGATAGCGACGACGCCAATCCCCCTGTCGCACGTCCCGAATCTTGTGATGACACCTGAACATCCTTGGTGGATAAAGAAATCATAAAAGACGAAAACAAAAAAATCATTGAAA